CCCCCCCCCCCCCAAAAAAAACTCACCTATGACAATGGTGGGCACTCTGCATCTTTTTTTTTTGTTTTGTTTTTTGCCCTGCTAAACTTCTCTGTACCGCTCTAATTTTTACGGATCTCCCGCTCTGCATCTTTAAAATCTGTTACAACATAATTTTGAAAAGACCGGAAAGGATGGGTTTGCTATGTTGGTATGGGTTTCAGGAAGCAGATAATGAAGCATAACTTCGGCGATAATTGACACGCTGCATGTTTTGGAGATTCAAGGTTTTCTCGTAATGGCTCTCGAGTCTCAACTGGGGAATTCTAACCCACTACCAAACTCTAGATCAAAACGCATGTGAAAACACAGATGTGATGCATGTTTTAAAAGCAACGCTCATCTGAGGGTTTATGCATCCTCTCTCCCTAGCATTCAGTCATTGTTTTGAGACCCTGGCTGTGGTTGGAGGTGCCAGTTGGGAGTGGGGGTGGTCCAATTCTCAAAGCAGGGTTCTGTTGAGCCTCCAACGTCGGGTGATTGTTGCGAGGGGATACCCATTTCTTCGTTCATATCTTTCCTTAGCAGGTTTTCGAAGCACCTGGTGTCAGAAGGTGTGTGGAGGGTGCCGCACTTTACTGGACTGCCGATGAAGAAGGTAGGACTGACGGGACGAGTGTCCCAATGGAATATGCTGATTTGCTGTTTGTGAAAACATACGTGTGAGCACTTTCTGCTCAAGCATAGAGACACGGGGAAGCTTGCATTCGGCCGTGGACCTTGACGCCAGACACAAGGCAGTGCAGACCAGGCTCGAATGTCCCACTCTGATGAAGTCCAGGGGGGACCTTTGTTTCTTTTTTATTTTGGTTAAGCAACTGCTTTTGCCCGGGGCTCCGCGTCCATTCTGGGGAGCATCAATCTGGTTCCTTTCTTTTTGTTTTTTTTGCTATTCAAGTTTTTATTTCTTTTCTTTAGGGGCCAACTTTTGCGCAGTCATGAAAACAGTTTGAAAATGCATTCCAGGCATCCCTCGAACATAACAACCCGCCGCCGTACCCTAAAGCTAGCTTGCATACTTTGAACATTTTCAGCGCTTTGTCTAGGCTGCATTTTGAAACTCGAACCACGACTGTGCCCTAGTTTTCCCTTTTTTGTTACTTTTTTTGCTTACTCGAGCTCCTTTCTATTGGTGGAGAGCAGCTCCTGCTGGAAACCGGATCCACTGGCAAGTAGCAAAGAGAATTGATAGTTTGACCCGCTCCATGCTTCCACCTGTGTATCCACCTGAGTATAATTGATTACTCTGCAGAGGGAGGATTGACTGTCAGTCTGGCCTTCTTTCCTTCGAGTCCTCTCAGACTGCATGTATGTAGGCTGCCAAATTTTCCTCTCCCCTAGAATCTCAAAGGGAACCCGCCGATCGTCATATCTGTCATGTCTAGTTGGGGTCTTGGTGGTCAGAGGAGTATATGCTTAAATGCTTCGCAACTTTTGCTTGATCATCGAATTATGCGAGTCCTTGCGCTGCAATCGGGCCCCCTCAATGGCTAGCTACCTTGCCACCCACCGACCAGTTCCGTAGAAAGCATACTTGTTGCGCACCAGCACTGTGCGCGGACCCGAGGTGCGCGCGCATCGGGGTGCGCAGTGCACGCTGTGCACGTTTGATGTGCTGCACTGTCGTGCACATCGGTCGCGCTCCGGGCAGGACCCTCCCGGCCGCGTCACGCAGGAGTTGGTCTACCTCGTTGTGATACATATGGAGCTTCCGCAAGCCGCTCCGGCTAACTGCGCCAGCCATACCTCTCAAGAGCCCCTACGACAGGATAGGGCCAATACGAGGTGACGTAGGAGTTGGTCTACCTCATTGCGACACTCATGGAGCTTTCGA